GGCTATTTGGAAGGCTGAGGCAGAAGCATCCCAGAGCCCAGCAGGTCGAGGCTACAGTGGCCGGGAGCAGGCCACTGCACTCCAATCTGGGCGACAGAGTGAGATTCCAGTTCAAAAAACAAACAACAACAAAAAAACCCCAGCAACTAACGGAAAGCACAGGTGAACACAAAAAGGCACCTTTGGGTGCACCCTGGGCACTGTACTTCTTGAGTGTTGGATTTGTGAAGGTGAACAGAAACCCAGTCGGTTTCAGGAACTATGGGGACAAAGTGAGTTCGCATGTCAACTGTGATTGCAGACTGTACATGCTGGGTGTCCGATATATTTTGGTCATGTGAGATGAGGATGTTTACTGAATTTTATAAAGAAGCTGACCGTGCTATGCAAAAAGCTAACAAAAAGACATTAAATCGCCAATGTTGTAATGGGGTTTGTGTAGTGAATATTTGAGAAGTCTTCCTATATGCAAAGCAGCACTGGAGTATAATAATTTCTTGATATATGATGATAGTGCATAGATTTAATGCACATATGGCGTCAGGGTTAAGTGCACAGATCTGAAATGAGCCCCAACTGAATCCAATTCCACCAGCAGTCAATACTGTCAAGATTGTAGATTTGACCCTGTGTTGCCTTTGCCTTTTTCTGTGGCCCCAGAATGCCTTTATCTGTCTTTGGTCACAGAGGAGCCTGGTATTTATGAGCTCGGAGGGGACAGGGCAAATTCATTACCACTACAAGAAAATTGCCCCAAATCATGTAGGTCACCAGTGTCATCTACATATACGAAGGGTGGCAGTTTCCCATCTGTGTCAAGAGAAGAAGACGAGTAACTTAGGCCAGATGGGAGCCCCACAGACAGTTCTCACTTGGAGTCAAAAAAAGACTGACGTGTCACACGGAGGTGCCCAGCTTCATGTGTTCATAATAGGCTGCTTTCTTTTCATTTATGTATATCAATCTCTAGTCCAAAACTAGGCTGCTTCAACCCCAGCGCAATCGACAGAGATGACATGGAGTGGTACACTCTCACCCCAGAATTTTTTTTTTCCCTGGCTGGTTATAAATACTCCCAGGCTATTGTATTTGGCAGGCCGTATGCAAATGGTGGTATGCGTACTGAAGCTCATTAGGAAAGGGACAGAAGCTTGGAGCACAGAGAGGACAGCGCCGAGCTGAAGCTGATAACAGTGGCCTTGTCCAGAATAGTGCATGGGAGCTTTCTTATCTCGCCCTGGCAGGAGGTGCTGTGGACTTCCTGTGCGAAATCAGGGGCGAACGCTGCTTTCCTCTTGTTGTTCAGCTTCCTCCCCCCTCAAGACGGTTCCCAGCACAGTGATTATCTTTGCATCTTCAAACGTGGCACAATCTACTTCCTTAAGAGCTTGATGTATTTTAAGGCTTAGGCAGATTCCCCTCCCCCTAAATCTCTTTTCAAGTGCTGTTATAGAGTAAGGCTCCTAAATGACATTCTATTTTTAAGGTTCCAATTACAAAGAGGGAAGAATAACAGCCCCTAAATTAGAAAATAGCCCAGAATCTGGCCTTTTCTTTGGAGGCCCTGGCAGTAAGTCTGCCTATGGTTTCCATACGAGGGGTTGTCCAGTGAGTGACTGCCCTTAGAGTCATGGGCGGGGGATGAGGCGGTGGGAGGAGGTGGGGGTTTCAGAAGTCGACAACCCCGAGTGAACTCAGACGCAGACTACTTCCCTTGGAAAGCGCCGAGATGTGCTTCGCTCCAACGTATTTCTTTGCGTTTCCTGAAGACCAAGAGTGTGAAACTAAGATCTTTGACTAAGGCCTCCCTTATCTTGTTCATTGCTGTGGGGAAAAAAAGAATGAAATATAAAAGCTTCTCTTCCAGATACAGGAGAACTCCATCTGTGTCATGCCCCAGTCCCTAATACACACGGACATGTCTAACCTAGGTGCACATCCATGTATACATATGTATACTCATACATGTATTCAGTGTGTGTGAAAGATGGAAAGTCAAAGAGAAGTTCAAGATATGGCTGTCATAGGCTAGAAAATGGAGAATACTGATCATGAAAAATAGGGCAAAGTGACTTTGTGTGTGTGTGTGTGTGTGTGTGTGTGTGTGTGTGTGTGTGTGTGTTGGAGTCTCACTCGGTCGCCCAGACTGGAGTGTAGTGGCCACTCCCGG